TCCCACACTAACAACCGTGCCCCGGCAGACCAACCCCCATCCCTGATTCCCCTTGTCCCTTCCCCCACCCCAGCTTAGTTCCTCAGCTCCCAGCACCAGTGAACACCAGGAAAACTGGCACCGGGAGCTGCTTGCAGGATAGAGGGGCTGGCTGATCTGCTGAGGTGGCGGTTGTCTATCTGGGGTTGGAGCAAGGGGGGGTCGAGATATTATACTACTTGTAATTTCAGTTCACTACTTCATAGTAAACTGAACCGCCTTTTTTACTTGTCAAGTTCCAACCTTGTGGTTCTTTGTCCTACAACTAGTTGTTAAGTTCACCAGTACCTACATAACCCATGCTGCTTCTGCTGCTAGTGCCAGCATCAAATATTTCAGGGAAAGCACAGAACCCTAAGGTCAGGATACTTGAATGCAAGTGGAAGAGGAAAATCTTACAACCGATTTATTAAAGCCCTAGCTTTATCCAGAGGAAATGACTTTTAGCTGGGCTGTCTTAAAATTTATGTATATGACCTTTTTAAGCCTACATGGGGCTTTTTATGATTTTTTTTAAACAATGCACAGTACTGCCCCAATTTAGTAAAAAAATTACCAGAAGTACCACTTACGTGTTGTTTCTGTGTGATGAATCTATTCATAAACAAATTTAGTACACGGATAGGCTTTTTTTAATTTAGAGAGAGTCGTAAGCTAAAGCCAAAAGGGGGGACTTACATTTAAGTTCAGTGCTAGTGAGAAGAAGTGATATGTTCAACAAAATGTCTGAAATACTTGGCAGTACTGAACCTCAATTTTCTGCGGCTGAAAAGTGATGTTTTAAAACAGGAATATCCTTTCTGCCTGGAGGAAAATCTATGCATGACTAGTCTGTGGTTGCTCCTGAAGGTCTGTTACCAGGGAAAGCTGAAAGCAAATATTACATTTTTTTCCCCCCAGATATATCATTTTTTCTTCCCCCAAGCACTGTGCTGGTCTCCTTGCGGGTCTCAACTTCCCAGGAGTAGAAGGCAGTATCTGGTATTATTGTTTCATTTCATGGGTTGTGTAGAATCCATGCTAGAATATCTAACATTGTAAGCCAAAATGCACTGGTGCCTGTGGTACCATCCCTGATATTTCAAGGGAGTCGTGTCATATTAGAGCTCTTGGTGAGCCAGTGCTACGATATAATAACTTAGTGTACCAGAGAGTTAAAGAAACGGATAGGGCTTCTGTGGAGCCCTATAGCTGCTAATTAACACCACAGATCATATGGACAGAGATTTCTCTATGTCATGTATGCTAGCCTCATTTCCCTCATGTTGCCTTCCAATCCCTACTCAGTCTTCCCTACCTGCATGAAGCTGTGTTCAACCAAGTGTCTCCACAGGTGTGTACCCTCTCTGCCTGCCCTGCATCCCACTTTATCATATAGGGTCTCACCTCTTTCAAGAGACACTCCCCATCACTGTCAACATGCAAACTAATCCTTGTAAGGGATATGAAGCATGCACTAGGTGAAGCAAGGCTGGCTGCATTGGGAAACTGAAGTGGTTGCTGGATCATCTAAGCCAATGGAACTAAACCTTTTAGAGTGTCAGGCCAGGAACTTGCGACCCAGTTACACTGCTGGCCACTGCTTCACTCCAGTAGTGGGGGGGAGGGGAGGGAAGAAGGAGAGAAGAGAGGAAGGAGGTGGGTGCCAGTGTCAGAGGGAAGGGAGGGAGGAAGAGCTTTTTTCCAGTAAACTGCATCTACCATAGACTCCCTGGAGGGTGCTGCACTCCCACTTAGACACCAGGTAGTGTTGCTGTGCTCTGTGTGTTCTTTAATATTGCATCCAGCTTGTTTCAACCAGGAATCTTCAATCAGCTCCAACTGCTTAGAGG